GCTTTCAGCAAGTTTCTCAAATACCTCTGTTTTATTGTTTCCCTTTGTTTGTAACTTAGTTAATCAAATTAATCAGCAAGGTGTCCGCATCGCCAGTGTCATTTCATGGTTGATTTTACCGTCAAGCAAAGCCAGGCTGCTTATTCTGCTAAACCGAATTGTACGACACTGTATTTGATGATGAAATTTTTTTCGGTCGGACAGCCTCACACGCAGCGGTGAACTCCCGTACACGACGCCGACAGGGAGAGGCCCACCGCACGCGCCCGAGCAGCACCTCTTATACTGCTTCCAAGGTTCATACCCGCAACACGATCTGCGTGCGACTGGCCGGCGCCACCGTGACGCACAGGCCCGAGCCGTGATTGTTCTCCTCACTCAGACATGAGTCATCGCCCCACTCGCCTTACGTGTTGACACACTGTCCCGGGGCATGGTCCACTACTACACGCACCCCTGATCTTCAAAGATCATACACTCACACCAACGTCTCACAGTATCCATTACACACTGCCCATCCACCAGCTCCACGCGCAGGTCGAGCAGGCGCGCGCCGTCCGCTACACGCTCCGGCGCTTTGCAGGCCAGGCCGAAGCGAGCGAAGTGACGCACCACGCGGTCTGCGCTCGCGATGTCCTCATCGACCAGCAGGTCGTCCACGTATGTGAGCACGGCGCGCTGCATGCCGGCGTCCTCCGCCAGCACTGCACGAACGACAGCCTTTATGATGAGCGGGTCGACGTTGAGCCCAAACCCCAGTCGTGTCAGGCAGTAGCGCTGTCCTCGCACCATGACCGTCTGGTAGGGCCACAGTCGGCGTTCCAGGCGCAGCTGCAGGTACGCCTTGCGCAGGTCCACCACAGCGACGCGTGTCCCATGTCGCCGCCACTTCCAGAGCTGGTCGGCGCAGGCGTCCGCGTCCGCCGTGTGGGCCGTCACGAAGCTGCTGAGCTCGCGATAGTTCAGGACAGGTCTCACCTTATCCTGATTTGCCTGCCGTACCGCCATCAGCGGCACCAGACCGCGCGGCGGTCCATCCACCTGTTGGTCGTACGGCGTCAGCCAGCCATTGCTGATCCATGCGTCGATCTCCGCGTCGTACGCCTGCCGCGCGTCCGCGGGCACAAGATACTCGGCCACCACGTTGCGTAGACATTCTGGACTTGTGATTTCCGTCTACTTCCAGGCGACCGTCCACGCCTGCTGCTCGCCGCTAAACCTCGCCGTAAAGTCGGCTGCATCCACTTCCAGGCCTCGCTGGGTCACAGCTGCCACCGCACAGAACCGCACGTCTGTCGGCATCCGCACGCTGATGCCTCCCAGGGACGTGATGCCACCCATGCCTAGCACGACGTCAACACACAGCGACGTCAACACACTCGGGCGTCACCCGACGGTCCTTGGTGTTAACCGCTATGCTGCCGGTCCCGCAGCATCTGAGTTCTTGGCTGTTAATCCTGGCCATTTTCACCGCCCGCGGTGTCCATTGTTCGCAGCGGCCAGTGTACACGAGCGTGTCCGTACAGCCCGTGTCCACCAGCACGCTGACCATCCGCTCGTTCGCCTCCAGCCGGGTGGTGGGCAGCGCGCCCCTTAATGGCGGGGAGACGACGCTAGCGCTGACGCGGCGTCCCCCGACTCGTTTCCTGACCAACGCTGTGGACAGGCGACGGCGATGTGGCCCGACTCACTGCACGTCCAGCAGCGTCGCAGTGGGCATCTCGCCAAGCGCGTCGTCGGGGCTCGTGGAGACGCCTCTGCACGCGCCACGGCCGCTGCCACAGCGACGCGTTCATCGCTGAGCACGGCTCGTGCCCGTGAGAGAACGCTCCCTAGGTCCAGCACCTCCGCGCGGGTGCCGGCCCAGATCGTCTTGCGGACTTCGTTTGGCAGGCCGGAGACGAATGCGCAGACGAGTGCGCTGTTAGGCACTCCGCCGAACAGGGTGGCGAGCCGGCGCAGGTCTGCAAGGTACACGTCCGCAGACTTATTAGGCTGCAGACGGCGGCTCGCAAAGGCATCGTAGGCCGCGAGGCGGTCCATGGCAAACGCGTCGTACAACGCGTCGCGCACGGCGTCCGCGGAGTCCCGCGATGCCTCTGGCATCTGCAGCCAGACAGCGAAGGCGCCGCCCGTGAGCCGTGCTGTCAGGACGCCGGTCAGGTCCACGCCGCGATGCCTGCACAACACCGCTGCGCGCGTGAACCACTCCACGACGTCCGACGATCCATCGTACTCCGGGATGAGCCGGGCGTCAAACGGCCCGCCTCCATCCCGCGTGACGGTCCTGCTCCCGCTGGCTGACGCTGGTGTCGCTGCGCCCCCAGCCGTGATGGACGTCGTCACACCGCCTGCAGCCGCTGCCGGGGTCTCGGGCATTCCGGCCGAAATAGCTTGTATTCGATGATGAAAAGAATTCTCGGTCGGACTGCCTCACACGCAGCGGTGAACTGCCGTGCAAGGCGCCGACAGGGAGAGCCCCACCCCACGCGCCCGAGCAGCACCTCTTATACTGCTTCCAAGGCTCATGCCTGCAACACGATCTGCGTGCGACTGGCCGGCGCCACCGTGATGCACCGCTCCGAGCCGTGATTGTTCTCCTCACTCAGACATGAGTCATCGCCCCACTCGCCTTACATGCTGACACACGGTCCCGGGGCATGGTCCACCGCTACAGACACTCGGAGTTTAAATATGCTATGGTGTACGTGGTCACGTTATGTGATGACGCCGCACATCTAATCTAATCAATCTAATCTAATCTAATCATCTAATCATAAAATCAACAAATCATCTAAGAAACCAGTCATAATATGACTGGTGAGTATGAGAAAGAGTATGAGAAAAAAGATGAGTATGATTATCAACTGAAAGTTCAGCCGGAGCCCCCTCGGAGAGTATGAGATGAAATTAGTAGCGGACCTCAAAAGAAACCCCAAGGCCTTTTGGAGGTACGCCAACTCAAGACTGCGCACAAGATGCAGGGTAGAAGACCTTCTTGATGATGGATTGTTGACCAGCAGTAACGAAGGGAAGGCAAACGTCCTCTACAAATTCTTCGCCAGTGGTTTCACGGACGAAGGTACTAGTGCCATGCCTGTGTTGCCGCGCAACTTTACTGGACCTTTTCTGGATGACGTGGACATCTCTAACCAGGCAGTGGCAAAAAAATTGGCTGCTCTGAAGACCTCGAGCGCCCCTGGGCCAGACGTCCTGGCAGCACCCCTCAGCATGCTTTTCCGAAAATCTTTAGCATCGGAAGGCTCCCCCACGAGTGGAGCTTGGCGAGGTAGTCCCGATCTTCGAGAAGGGTAACCGGCAATATCCAGCGAGCTACCGTCCAGTGAGCCTCACTGCCATTCCCTCCAAGATACCCGAAACTTTCGTCGTGATGCCCTTCTTCATCACGTCTCGGAGTCTGGACTAATGCATGCAGCCCAGCATGGGTTCCTCCCTAAGCGATCCTGTATCACCCAGCTGTTGGAGGTCATGGAGGATCGGAGCGCCGCAGTAGAGGATGGAGGGCCAGTGGACGTGG